CAGTGGGGGGGTCTGATTCACTCGCACTGCCACTCACACTATCTGGTCTCTGTCTACAAACACATATACTACTACTTACACAAGGGCTCACTGTCTACACACTGCCAATCACACTCCGGCTGTCTGTCCTCTGTCTAGCTGGCTGCTAAAGATCCACACCAGTCAAAGTACACACACACACCGCAAACAAACCTGCCACATAACAAAGGTTAGGTTATTGAAATACGTAAGGAAGTTGACGACTGGTGTTGTTGGTTGGAATATCTACTTGTAACTAAATCTATGGGTTTTTTTTTTGTAAAGAAACATGCTGTACCTGAAGGACAGGAATGGTCCTTTGTATCACTGATATTATCACCAAAAATCCAAAACAGGGTGGTAAAAGCAGATATAGTGCAAAGCAAAATGCATACCCTGAGCAACACCCTTAGAATGGAAGGGGGCACCCTGTATAGTTTGGTTAGCACCAATAAATTGGTTTGAAATAATTTGTGTGAAAACGAGAAACATCCTCCAGTCAAAATGCCTGAGGTTTCCATAAAATGTGAGAGTTCCTGAAGCTAGCTTGAAGTCGGATCGACATTCCAGTCCAGCTCCTTAATGTTTCGGTCATTCTCTCGCTTTTTGTTGATTTCCGCAAAATTGATTGGTTTTGGGATTAGATCCCACCCCCTGCCGATGTCAGGAGTCTCTCAGAGGGGTGAAAGGGCAGGAAACAGGGCTGCTCTTTGTTGGAGGATTATACCCCAACACTATATCACAGATACCAGCAGGAGTCCACTCAACTCATAGAAACCCTTAATTTCCCTTTAATACTCCACACTAAACCTACTTTTAAATAAGGGCCCCTCCTATGCGTTTTGTGTACCATAAAAAACCGCAGCAGGAGATTAGGTCTAGTCCATCCCACAGTTCAACCAAGGCTAGAGCTAAAAAGTAGTGCCCTACCAGAGCAAAACAATAGCACACTAAAAAGTAGTGCAGCACTATATAGTCCTTAGAGTTTAGGGCACCTTTAAGGGTCTTTTGAACAGGGTTTGAGCAGCATGTTACCATCTCTCTTCTCTACTCTGAAGCCCATGGCCCTCAGGGCGGAGTCATCGGCCACCCCGCAACGTTCTAGAGCTGCCACCAGCTCCTGATTCTCCAGGTTGTGTTCTAGAATGTTCCGGGTGGCAAAGATGGCCCACTGGCTGATGACTGGTGGAGAAACAACGGTTAATGATGGCATTACATATACATTTATGGCACAAAGAGAGTGTGAGTTAAAGTTAATTTTTTTACTATGGGAGAGGAACAAGACGAATGTAGAAACTGGACTCTCAAAAGCTTTTTTCTACACCAAAACTACCCACATTAGTTGCTGTCTCCAACACATTCACACATACTCCCTTTCAACCACCAATCAAAGTAAAGTAACACTAACCCACTCTCAATTAGCTACCACCATCCCCACTGTACAGGACACTATCAGTACAGTGAGTGAGTACTGTATACATTTTGAATGACAAGGAAGCTACCCAGTCTCCCGCCCCCTCCAGTCCTCTTCCTCTCCACATACAGTGGGGAAAAAAGTATTTAGTCAGCCACCAATTGTGCAAGTTCTCCCACTTAAAAAGATGAGAGAGGCCTGTAATTTTCATCATAGGTACATGTCAACTATGACAGACAAATTGAGAGAAAAAATCCAGAAAATCACATTGTAGGATTTTTAATGAATTTATTTGCAAATTATGGTGGAAAATAAGTATTTGGTCACCTACAAACAAGCAAGATTTCTGGCTCTCACAGACCTGTAACTTCTTCTTTAAGAGGCTCCTCTGTCCTCCACTCGTTACCTGTATTAATGGCACCTGTTTGAACTTGTTATCAGTATAAAAGACACCTGTCCACAACCTCAAACAGTCACACTCCAAACTCCACTATGGCCAAGACCAAAGAGCTGTCAAAGGACACCAGAAACAAAATTGTAGACCTGCACCAGGCTGGGAAGACTAAATCTGCAATAGATAAGCAGCTTGGTTTGAAGAAATCAACTGTGGGAGCAATTATTAGGAAATGGAAGACATACAAGACCACTGATAATCTCCCTCGATCTGGGGCTCCACGCAAGATCTCACCCCGTGGGGTCAAAATGATCACAAGAACGGTGAGCAAAAATCCCAGTACCACACGGGGGGACCTAGTGAATGTCCTGCAGAGAGCTGGGACCAAAGTAACAAAGCCTACCATCAGTAACACACTACGCCGCCAGGGACTCAAATCCTGCAGTGCCAGACGTGTCCCCCTGCTTAAGCCAGTACATGTCCAGGCCCGTCTGAAGTTTGCTAGAGTGCATTTGGATGATCCAGAAGAGGATTGGGAGAATGTCATATGGTCAGATGAAACCAAAATATAACTTTTTGGTAAAAACTGAACTCGTCATGTTTGGAGGACAAAGAATGCTGAGTTGCATCCAAAGAACACCATACCTACTGTGAAGCATGGGGGTGGAAACATCATGCTTTGGGGCTGTTTTTCTGCAAAGGGACCAGGACGACTGATCCGTGTAAAGGAAAGAATGAATGGGGCCATGTATCGTGAGATTTTGAGTGAAAACCTCCTTCCATCAGCAAGGGCATTGAAGATGAAACGTGGCTGGGTCTTTCAGCATGACAATGATCCCAAACACACCGCCCGAGCAACGAAGGAGTGGCTTCGTAAGAAGCATTTCAAGGTCCTGGAGTGGCCTAGCCAGTCTCCAGATCTCAACCCCATAGAAAATCTTTGGAGGGAGTTGAAATTCCGTGTTTTCCAGCGACAGCCCCAAAACATCACTGCTCTAGAGGAGATCTGCATGGAGGAATGGGCCAAAATACCAGCAACAGTGTGTGAAAACCTTGTGAAGACATACAGAAAACGTTTGACCTGTGTCATTGCCAACAAAGGGTATATAACAAAGTATTGAGAAACTTTTGTTATTGACCAAATACTTATTTTCCACCATAATTTGCAAATAAATTCATTAAAAATCCTACAATGTGATTTTCTGGAGAGAAAAAAATCTCATTTTGTCTATCATAGTTGACGTGTACCTATGATGAAAATTACAGGCCTCTCTCATCTTTTTAAGTGGGAGAACTTGCACAATTGGTGGCTGACTAAATGCTTTTTTTCCCCACTGTATGCCTAGTCAGCATCTGCGACCAGGCCATGGGCCATGTAGCTGTGTGGCTGTGGCCCAGACCTGGGTTCAAATAGTATTCTAAATTATTTCAAATACTTTATCTGTATTGATTGAGCTTGCCTGGCTGAATGGACCAATAGAATAATCTAAAACCGGCAAAACCCACACTCCGGGCAAGCTACCCACTGGGGACAGACGTCCTTTTAACGTCTAGCTTTGGTTTACATTTGCTTCAGTTGTCAACTTAAGTGAATTTGACTTGAAATCAACAAAACATTTCATGTCATTGGATTTATGTTGACCTTTCAAATCCAATTAGTTTTCCACATTGATTCAACGTTATCACATAATTTTTTTGTTGAATTTACTTGGAAACAACAATGATTCAAACAATTTTTGACCAGTGGGTAGAGCAAATGCTCAAAGTATTTGAAAGATTACAAATAGTATTTGAACCCAGGTCTGGCAGTGGCCCACCTGATGAGAGCAGAGGGAGCTCAACAGTAACCATCGATGACAACTTCCTTCCTGAGGGAGGTCAGGCTCAGATTAATAGCTCATCCCCTGGTGAAAAGACAAGTTGGCACCGTGCCCTGACCGGGAGATAGCCCCCGGGGGGTTGACGGAGGCGGACTCAAACTAAGCTGATGTTGTGTCAGTGCCAACATCCACCAACAGTATAAACATGATGGATAAACGACGCCTGCTGTATAATAATTCACCACAGTGACTTGTATGTAGACATACACTCCCCTAAATTTATTTGGACAGTGAAGTTAAAACGTTTAATTTGGCTCTATACTCCAGCATTTTGGATTTGAGATCAAATATTTTATGAGGCGAAAGTACAGAATGTCACCTTTTATTTTAGGGTATTTTCATACATACAGTTGAAGTCGGAAGTTTACATACACTTAGGTTGGAGTCATTAAAACTCGTTTTTCAACCACTCCACAAATTTCTTGTTAACAAACTATAGTTTTGGCAAGTCGGTCAGGACATCTACTTTGTGCATGACACAAGTAATCTTTCCAACAATTATTTACAGACAGATTATTTCACTAATAATTCACTGTATCACAATTGCAGTGGGTCAGAAGTTTACATACACTAAGTTGACTGTGCCTTTAAACAACTTGGAAAATTCCAGACAATGATGTCATGGCTTTAGAAGCTTCTGATAGGCTAATTCACATCATTTGAGTCAATTGGAGGTGTACCTGTGGATGTATTTCAAGGCCTACCTTCAAACTCAGTGTCTCTTTGCTTGACATCATGGGAACCTCAAAAGAAATCAGCCAAGACCTCAGAAAAAGAATTGTAGACCTCCACAAGTCTGGTTCATCATTGGGAGCAATTTCCAAACACCTGAAGGTACCATGTTCATCTGTACAAACAATAGTACGCATGTATAAACACCATGGGACCACGTAGCCATCATACCGCTCAGGAAGGAGACGCGTTCTGTCTCCTAAAGATGAACGTACTTTGGTGCGAAAAGTGCAAATCAATCCCAGAACAACAGCAAAGGACCTTGTGAAGATGCTGGAGGAAGCAGGTACAAAAGTATCTATATCCACAGTAAAATGAGTCCTATATCGACATAACCTGAAAGGCCGCTCAGCAAGGAAGAAGCCACTGCTCCAAAACCGCCATAAAAAAGCCAGACTACGGTTTGCAACTGCACATGGGGACAAAGATCGTACTTTTTGGAGAAATGTCCTCTGGTCTGATGAAACAAAAATAGAACTGTTTGGCCATAATGACCATCGTTATGTTTGGAAGCCGAAGAAAACCATCCCATCCGTGAAGCACGGGGGTGGCAGCATCATGCTGTGGGGGTGCTTTGCTGCAGGAGGGACTGGTGCACTTCACAAAATAGATGGCATCATGAGGAAGGAAAATTATGTGGATATATTGAAGCAACATCTCAAGACATCAGTCAGGAAGTTAAAGCTTGGTTGCAAATGGGTCTTTCAAATGGACAATGACCCCAAGCATACTTCCAAAGTTGTGGCAAAATGGCTTAAGGACAACAAAGTCAAGGTATTGGAGTGGCCATCACAAAGCCCTGACCTCAATCCTATAGAAAATGTGTGGGCAGAACTGAAAAGGCGTGTGCGAACAAGGAGGCCTACAAACCTGACTCAGTTACACCAGCTCTGTCAGGAGGAATGGGCCAAAATTCACCCAAGTTATTGTGGGAAGCTTGTGGAAGGCTACCCGAAACGTTTGACCCAAGTTAAACAATTTAAAGGCAATGCTACGAAATACTAATTGAGTGTATGTAAACTTCTGACCCACTGGGAATGTGATGAAATAAATCATTCTCTCTACTATTATTCTGACATTTCACATTCTTAAAATAAAGTGGTGATCCTAACTGACCTAAAACAGGGAATTCTTACTAGGATTAAATGTCATGAATTGTGAAAAACTGAGTTTAAATGTATTTGGCTAAGGTGTATGTAAACTTCCGACTTCAACTGTATCTGTAGAAATGAATGCACTCTATGCATCTAGTCCCCCCATTTGAAGGTGCCATAAGTATTTGGACAAATTCACTTAGTGCATCAAATTTAGTATTTCGTCCCATATTCCTAGCACACAATGACTACATCAAGCTTGTCAAATCAAATCAAATTTTATTGGCCACATGCGCCGAATACAACAGGTGCAGACATTACAGTGAAATGCTTACTTACAGCCCTTAACCAACTGCACATTTATTTTTAATAAAAAAGTAGAATAAAACAAAAACAAAAAGTGTTGAGAAAAAAAGAGCAGAAGTAAAATGCAGAGTCAATGTGCGGGGGCACCGGCTAGTTGAGGTAGTTGAAGTAATATGTACATGTGGGTAGAGTTAAAGTGACTATGCATAAATAATTATAAAAAGATGGGGTGGGGGGGCAGTGCAAATAGTCCGGGTAGCCATGATTAGCTGTTCAGGAGTCTTATGGCTGGGGGGTAGAAGCTGTTGAGAAGTCTTTTGGACCTAGACTTGGCACTCTGGTACCGCTTGCCATGCGGTACCAGAGAGAACAGTCTTTGACTAGGGTGGCTGGAGTCTTTGACAATTTTGAGGGCCTTCCTCTGACACCGCCTGGTATAGAGGTCCTGGATGGCAGGAAGCTTGGCCCCAGTGATGTACTGGGCCGTACGCACTACCCTCTGTAGTGCCTTGCGGTCGGAGGCCAAGCAGTTGCCATACCAGGCGGTGATGCAACCAGTCAGGATGCTCTCGATGGTGCAGCTGTAGAATTTCTTGAGGATCTGAGGACCCATGCCAAATCTTTTCAGTCTCCTGAGGGGGAATAGACTTTGTCGTGCCCTCTTCACGACTGTCTTGGTGTGTTTGAACTATGATAGTTTGTTGGTGATGTGGACACCAAGGAACTTGAAGCTCTCAACCTGTTCCACTACAGCCCCGTCGATGAGAATGGGGGCGTGCTCAGTCCTCTTTTTTTTCCTGTAGTCCACAATCATCTCCTTTGTCTTGGTCACGTTGAGGAAGAGGTTGTTATCCTGGCACCACACGGCCAGGTCTCTGACCTCCTCCCTATAGGCTGTCTCATCATTGTCGGTGATCAGGCCTACCACTGTTGTGTCGTCGGCAAACTTAATGATGGTGTTGGAGTCGTGCCTGGCCATGCAGTCATGGGTGAACAGGGAGTACAGGAGGGGACTGAGCACGCACCCCTGAGGGGCCCCCGTGTTGAGGATCAGTGTGGCAGATGTGTTGTTACCTACCCTTACCACCTGGGGGCGGCCTATCAGGAAGTCCAGGATCCAATTGCAGAGGGAGGTGTTTAGTCCCAGGATCCTTAACTTAGTGATGAGCTTTGAGGGCACTATGGTGTTGAATGCTGAGCTGTAGTCAATGAATAGCATTCTCACGTAGGTGTTCCTCTTGTCCAGGTGGGAAAGGGCAGTGTGGAGCGCAATAGAGATTGCATCATCTGTGGATCTGTTGGGGCGGTATGCAAATTGGAGTGGGTCTAGGGTTTCTGGGATAATGGTGTTGATGTGAGCCATGACCAGCCTTTCAAAGCACTTCATGGCTACAGACGTCAGTGCTACGGGTCGGTAGTCATTTAGGCAGGTTATCTTAGAGTCCTTGGGCACGGGGACTATGGTGGTCTGCTTGAAACATTGGTATTACAGACATGTTGAAAATGTCAGTGAAGACACTTGCCAGTTGGTCAGCACATGCTCGGAGTACACGTCCTGGTAATCCGTCTGGCCCTGCAGCCTTGTGAATGTTGACCTGCTTAAAAGTCTTGTGACTCTTCAAACTTGTTGGATGCATTTGCAGTTTGTTTTGGTTCTGTTTCGGATTATGTTTTGCCCAAAATAAGTGAATGGTAAATGTATTGTGTCATTTTGGAGGCACTTATATTCTATTTTAATAGAATGTTTCTGAACACTTCTACATTAACGTAAATGCTACCATGATTACGGATTATCATGAATGAATCGTGAATAATTATGAGTGAGAAACTTACAGATGTACAAAGATCATGCAACCAAAATATGCTAACCGCCCACCATTACTAATAACAGGGGAGGTTAGCATTTTTGGGGGGGTATGAATCTTTGTTCCTCTGTAACTTTCTCACTTACCATTATTCACGATTTATTCAGGACTATCCATAATCATGGTAGCATCCATGATAGAGGTTCAGTTCTGGGACTTTCTTCTACTCCAAAATGAATAAAAAATGTTTAATGCTGACACCATCTAAAATATAATTTCCAGAAATGAGCCCAATAACATATTGGTAAAAACTATGTTTAAAATTATTTTTAACATATTGGACCATGCACATAGCCTATACATGGTCTATATTATCAGATGTGCTATTAGCAATAAACATTATCACCTGTAGCACAAATTATGCAGCATCATGGCTATAAATACATAGGCTGAAGCATGGGGTTTGTCCATCTGCATTTCCCCCACTGGACACACCATCCTGATTATTAAATTATTATTCATTATTCTTCTTCACTCAAAAAATAATAATATGTGGTTTCTATTACAAAGTATGTCATTACTCTTTTAAGCCGCCATTGCCCCTTTAAGAGCTCTGTTGTGCAGTTACACCTAAACCATGCCTAAAACTCCAAATGTAATATTTTTTAAATGATGCCACGAGCAATTTTAGGAGTAGAGAAATAAACATGGTAGCAATGAAAAGCTGGGATCCCCCTCTTTCTTAACAAAGGCCATTGCATTAAGAATTATTGTGCATTGACTGCTTGTCAGAATACATGTTTCCCTCCCTATGGCTCTCGCTACTTGAAGGCGCCTCGAGAGGAATATTTATCTCGCATAGAACACATAACAAGCCGACTAGGTAAATAGGACAACTATTCTACTATGGAGTTGTCTGATTTTGTTTTACAACATTACATGGCAAAAATAGTAGCACTGGAAAGTTAAATCCTGATTTGAATTACTTTGCCAGCAGCTATAAGTAGGCTACACACCGCTGTTTGAGGGTCTACACAGGATAAAAAACGACCTCTCCAGAACCCATATGACAGAAATCCCATCACGGCGATGGACAACTTTAACCCCTGTGCATCCAACAAGTTTGTAGAGCCATTAGTCATTGCATGCTAGGAATATGGGACCAAACACTAAACTTGATTACTTTAATAGACATAAGTGAATTTGTCCAAATACTTATCACACCTTCAAATAGGGTGACTAGATAAATAAAGTGCTTTCATTTCCAAACGGTAAAACAAATATTTATGACAATAACCTCAAATAAAAGGTGACATTCTTTACTGTCGCCTCATGAGATTTTTTATGTCAAATCCTAAATGTTGGGAGAATAAAGACAAATTTACACATTTTAGCGTCACTGTCTGTCCAAATAAATACATAGGGAGTGTATACAGTAAAATATATCTATCATCCACCAACATTGACTTATGACTATAAACATGGTAGATAAACATACGTTTCAGCCACCACAATTACTTACAGGAAGACAATAAGGATGATACATAAAAGTACAAAGATCATTAGGTTAACATCCATCCACAGTGGCTTATAACATGATAGTTACACGACTAGTATAATTTATTCACCACAGGGACATCAGATTCTAGACAAATCATTAGGATACAGGGATTGTTGCTGTCAATACTACAGTTGTCCATAATGAGAGGAAGACCATCCAGTTCCCTAACTTGGAAGAAAAAAAATACATATATATATATAATCAAAACAAAGATATTTACAATGCAGAAATAGAATCTCCATCTCCACCCAAAAACAACTACTTTCTCATCCAAAACACACAGTAAAAAAACACTAGTCTCACTAATTATTCTGTTTGGCTTGAGTCTATGGATAGGGCCAATTTAAAACAATGCTGAGATGATGATTTTCCTTATGGAAGAAGAAGCTGTTTAAGTGTTGTGTTTCCTTGGTTTCTATAGGACAATCTCAATAACTAACCAACATCTATGTCCCTATCAGCCAACATTGAGGTCCCTTATCCTTAGGAAATCCCTACTACCACGGAAAATAGCCGTGTGTGGTTGTGGGTTGGTCTAAAGCTGTCACAACGTGTTGCACTGGTCTCTGTCACCCATCTAATTATATAGGTGAATTTAGATACATGTGGTTACTCTGCAAATTCATTGGTAGAGTCATGAACGGCCATAGCAAGAGAGAAAATGCTGAGTTAGTTACTGTAAGTGTGTACTTTTTGTTCACTCAAAATCTAAAATCATGAATTTAAGCCTATATGTAAAAAAGACTTAATCAAAGATTGTCATATCAAATTATTATTAATTTGCTGAGAGCCGGCAAAGGGTTACTACTATCATTCTCAAGGGCCTTGTAAAGTGGGAGTGGGTTTTTAAGCCGCTGCAAGTGCACACATGCCAGTCAGTTTGCCAGTCAGTGATAGCTGCCGATAGCTGGGATGGAACAGATAATGAGTAAGGACATTTTTCTCTTTCCTCCATTAATGTAATAATACCACCACCATGAGGAAGCCAATATGGCTCAGTGCCACGATGGACTCAAAAGCACTTATTCTCTCTCCGGTGTGACCCATGAAGCACAAATACAGCATGCGGAGATTACTGTATGTGCTATTTAACTCAACATGTGTCTCAAATGACATCCTATTCTCTTTAGTGAACTACTTTCCACCAGTCGATTAGAATAGGAAGTGTCATTTTACACTTTCACGGACTCTCCTTGCCTGACCTTTTACACATGCTTCTTCACCCTATATCTGTCATTTCCAAGGATTAAACCCCTCTTTTAGACACTGAGATAAGCACCCTAAGGGCTGATTTAAGGGTTCAAAAGGAGTCTGCAAATCCTACTCTGAAAGGATGCGCTCACAGACAAAACTCGTGGAGGGTGAGTAAACTTCAAAGCCTAGGATGAAATGTAGTTTATCAATGGTCTTGCAACACAAGAGAGTCAGTTATTTAATCTTTGACCCCCACACCCATATTTTGTCCACTATCTGCACTATATCTGTGCCAGCTGTATGCCTGTGTGTTGTGTGTCGGTACTGTTTGTCTGATGTCTGCTGCTGGTGGCAAAACATATTTCCCTCATTGGGGATCAATACATTCTTACTGGTCTTCCCCAGAGCATGGACCTGCTGCAGGAGATCTGTAAGAGGAGAAAGAGAGATGAATAGGAGAACAACACATTTTACACAAAAAGGGATACAGTAGCAGAATATCAAATCAATCACATTTTCTTATAAAGCCCTTTTTACATCAGAGGTTGACAAAGTATCCAGGGGCCAGGAAAAGACAAAATAACATAATCAGTGATCAGAAAAAGGCAACAGAGAACAGAAAGGCAAAATGATCAATTAGACAGAGAAACCTGTTCTACAGAAGAGGTGTAGTATCAGAGTCCTGCTGATGACAAATGCAGTTATTTCCACGTGACTGCTGTTTCAATGCAACTGCGTCTCTCTCAACAGAAGGGCATGAACCTGCTGGTACTTTAAGTGTCATAGTTCCGTTCCAACACAGTATAACTATATTATGTCACAGGATTTGTAGTGAAAGTGTAAACTCTAAACTGTGGGCCACCTTCTTTGCCATGGACATTTGAGACATAGTGTGACATGCTGGTGGTTTTTATAAAAAGAATAACAGCACACACAGCCATTTATCAGGGCTCTAATGTCAAAAGATTAAGCATCATAGGTAAAAGGTTGTGTAAACATCCAGTCCAATAGACCATGGTACTATTTATTTACCAACTGTAGACTTGAGGAGGTCAGGGTGGTTCTGCAGGAACATGAACTGTTTGTGATCAGAGGTCATCTCACAGAGAACATCTAACAGGCTGATCACAGTCAGGGCCTCCTACAAAATACAACACAAATCAATTAATCACCCAACCAATCAATCAACCAATCAAAAAAGTATATCTAAGATGTCACAGAAACAGCAATAGCAGAAACAGTCAGGTACCCAGGCTATGGAACAGGTGATTTATACAACCAATCAATCAGATCATTGATACCTCATTGTCTGATTTGGAGGCTAGTGTGAGCACGGCCCCACAGCGCTCCTGGAAGCAGGATGCCAGGAAGGTAGCTACAGTGGGGGGGATCCCACAGTCCTTAGAGTCCTCCTCTTCCAACTGAGCAGAGATCAGCTGCAGCAACGTCACCCTGCAGCTCCATCAATTTTTATGTAATTAATTGATTGGATTTAAAAAGTAGAGCTTTTCTAGAAGCTCAATGTAAGGAGGAAACTCATGTCATCCATGACAAATTTAGGGCCATCAAAGGGAGAAAGAATTGCTGACTTCGGGTGTAGGTGTACTACACCAACATCAAGGCGGTGACCCGATCCTGCAGGTTCATGCTCTACAACATTCGGAGAGTACGACCCTGCCTTACACAGGAAGCGGCACAGGTCCTAATCCAGGCACTTGTCATCTCCCGTCTGGATTACTGCAACTCGCTGTTGGCTGGGCTCCCTGCCTATGCCATTAAACCCCTACAACTCATCCAGAATGCCGCAGCCCGTCTGGTGTTCAACCTTCCCAAGTTCTCTCACGTCACCCCCCTCCTCCGCACACTCCACTGGCTTCCAGTTGAAGCTCGCATCCGTTACAAGACCATGGTGCTTGCCTATGGAGCAGTGAGGGGAACGGCACCTCCGTACCTTCAGGCTCTGATCAGTCGCTACACCCAGGCGAGGGCATTGCGTTCATCCACCTCTGGCCTGCTGGCTCCCCTTCCTCTGCGGAAGCATAGTTCCCGCTCAGCCCAGTCAAAGCTGTTCGCTGCTCTGGCACCCCAATGGTGGAACAAGCTCCCTCACGACGCCAGGACAGCGGAGTCACTCACCACCTTCCGGAGACATTTGAAACCCCACCTCTTTAAGGAACACCTGGGATAGGATAAAGTAATCCTTCTACCCCCCCCCCCCCCCCCCAAAAAAAAAGAAAAAAAGAAAATAAAAATTATAATTGTAAAGTGGTTATCCCACTGGCTATAGGGTGAATGCACCAATTTGTAGTCGCTCTGGATAAGAGCGTCTGCTAAATGACGTAAATGTGCCCTTGAGCAAGGCACTTAACCCTAATTGCTCCTGTAAGTCGCTCTGGATAAGAGCGTCTGCTAAATGACTAAAATGTAAATGTACTAGTTTCTAAGTATTTGTGAGAGTAGGTAAATTCTTGAATTGGATTAACTAGATTCAGTTACCTCTCCTGATGGCTCATCCCTGCATACATGTTCTTAACGAGCACTGACGACTTGAGGAAGTGCTGGGTAGCAATCAAAACCCTGTCAAAAATATTTACAATTCATGTTTATATAGTGTGTGTACAATCAACACACACACACACACAGCAACCCCCATCCCCCACAACCCTCAGAGGGTACCTACGTCCAGTCCAGTTCTGACTGAGTCCTACACAGCTCCATGACCTTCAGGGCCAGGTGGATGTTCCCTGGCTGAGCCAGTTGCTCCACCTTGTGTTCATCTAGACAGGTGTGGAGCACCATGGAGGAGTAGCCCACTGCCCTTTCATCATCCACACACAGCAGGGCCCTGTGATCAAAGACAACACAGACTTGACTAATCACTCACACCTATAAGATCCCTGCAAACACAGACAACACAGACAGGTGTGGAGCACCATGAAGGAATAAGCCACTTCCCACTCATCATCCACTCCCAGAAGGACCCTGCAAACACAGCCAACATAGAAATCAAACTGGATGGTCTTCAGAGATAGATGGGATGGGCTAAGGGTAGTTGAAGGATGGGATTAAAAACAAACAAAAAGATAACTACTGCAAAATACATTGTGTCCGTAAATTGTATATAGTATGAATCAGCTGGAAGTAGAAGCCTAAGTATTGTTGTCCATTAGTGTACTCCAATTAGGGGAGAGGTGGCAAGGTTAGGGGAAAATAATAAAGGAATACAATTGTTTGTAAAAAATTTAATAAAACAGCCAACACAGCAGTAACTTTGATCCAGTCTGGGACGATTCGCTGACACTATGCTTTCATGCATAAAACCCTTAGATTGCAGTTTGTAGGCCTAAAGGATCAATAAAGAGGAAGTCCTTATTCCTAATGTGAATTGTGAAAACCATGTAAGGCTAGACTTTGAGCTTAATTCTTTCGTGTTAATTTCCCATACGTGATTTGCACAATAGCTCAAGGCCTTGAGGTGAAACTGATGTAGGGCCCAAGTACTTAGAAGAGAAGATCTGGAAAGATGAGCCTCCAAATGTCATCTTTGCAGAACTGGTTATCAACAGCAAGGTTTCCAATTAACTGTATCCCACATCGAAGTGCTAGATCAATGGTAAAGTGCAGAGAACAACAGTCAGATGTGTTTAAGAAGACCCTTAAGAGAGATGTTATTATTATTATTATATATTATTATATTATTATAGATGTTAAGAAATTGCAAAAATCCTATCAAATTTGAACGTTTACTATACAGTATGCTACAATTGTTTTTCAAGTAAGCACACAACTGCAAATATCAGGAGATTACGCTTATTCTCTTCAGCCATAGGAGGGAGAATAAAAACAATCACCTTCAAAGATGTAGTCAGTGTTCTCAGACTTCAGTTTCTGAAGCATGTCTAGGATTCTGATTGACAGGTCAATAGCACCAAGGGACCTGGATAAAAAGGTAGATTTGCTTATGTTTTAACCAACCAGCACACACACACACACAAATACAGAGGGGGGAACACTTCATAACAGGGAAACGCATTGACTCACAACCTGACCCGTCACTATCTGACACACAAACCCCTAACAACAATAGGGTTATAGGGTTCTAGATAGAACACCCCCCGGTTTTTGAAGTGTAAACTGTATGTTGGTTGAATTCCTGTGAAAACAAAACTACTGACATGGATGTGCTTGGTAATGTTATTAACTCTTCCTTGACTGTGCGTGCATGTGTGTGTGTGTGTGCGCGCGTGATTGGATTAGAGCGTCTGGTAAATTAATAAAATGTAGGTCCAATGTAAAACATTTGTGTGCATGCTTTTGTGTGTGTCAAGTAAACTGGAATCAATACTGACTGCAGCCCACCTCATTAGGGACTGGGCTCTGAAGCATGCTGCGGTCAACTGCAGGATCAGTTCTTCAACCTCTACATCTGCAGCCTGGATCTCCTCTGATAGCTTTGACAGGATCTTCATTAGGCTCCTGAAGGCTTCATACTCACTGCAGTCTCTGTAAGTACACACACACACACACACACACACACACACACACACACACACACACACACACACACACACACACGTTGACTTGGGTGTAGCTTTTAAAACAGTCAACTGAACACACAGAAGGCTTGAGAATAATAGATCATACAGAAAACTAGCAATGTTTCACTTATACAGCCAAAAGCAGGACATGGGTAACATGATAGCTAGCTGCTGCAGCTGAGCTTGCCTTGGACTGTTTAGCTGAGGACTTTTGCTAGCTAGTTAGCTAGCTAGCCACATTTAGCTACATATCTCTCCCCTTTGCGCACCAGTAATCCTGAATTCGTAACGCATTTGTTAGCGATTGTATAACAGGTAAATGGTTTTCACTGAACTTCTCGGCGAGAATACTTTCTTTAAAGTCTCACTGCCTCCTTCTCACAAATGATCCCAAAAATATAAAAATTAAATAAAGTTGGTTCAACACAGTGGCGGGTCATTTTGACCCTAGGACAACGGGAGGGTTAAATAATGTTGGAAAGTCCATCCTTTTCCATGCTGGTTCCGCCATATTTGTTTGTATTGCTCTCCAGTGTGGGTGGGACTTCCGTGTTATATCCTGGTGTTTGATTAGATAAAACCAGGAAGGAGGGGGTGCTAGAACATGTGTTCTCCCAAAATCATCAATTTGATGGAACGTTGAAATCGAAATCAAGGATATTTCACCATCATATTTCCATGAAATTAGCAGTTTAAATGATTGGATATGTTTTAGTATTTTTTCACATAGGAAATAGACATAGGTAGCTATATGTACATGAAAGCAAAGCACAAGCTACAGATTATTGTGATCATGCCATGAGTTTCACAATGACCCCAGCTAGCACATAATGTTCTGAGAATCATGTTTCTTACAGAATCTCAAAGTCGCTTTTAAAAAACTAACAAAAACAAAGATTTAAAAAAACCCCGTTATAGTTAAACATTGCATGCATCTATAATCACATTTGCGTGGTGGCATTCAGTAGAGCGGAGCCGTTTTTAGGATTTCGGCACATGGGGATTTTCTTTTGTTGCAGGGTCTGGAAAAACATTGGCCTTTTATAAACGCATTTCATGCAATTCTACGTCATTTACATGACATAATACATTAGCATATACATTTTTTATACCACACAAATGACCAAAATGAGTGGCTACTCTGACAGTGCCAAACTGAGAGCAATAAAAACGACCTGGTCTTGAACGCAAACAATAACCAAGGCCAATGGAGAGACACAGATTGTCCAAAATTAGATTTTTTTTATATATAGGCTATAGCAGGCTACTATATAAACTTTCCAGTGGCACTGCCTCACCCAATGTTGAAGACGAAGCCTAGGCTCCTCACCGGTGATGGCTGATGCTTGTGCCAGTAGCCTATCAAAAGATGATCAAGCTACTTTGAAAAACAGACAGTTTAGTCTTCTCTTTCTACAGACAGATTAGTGTTCTCTTTTCAGCAGTAGACATTTGCTTTCCAAACGTTTTTCTCGAGATTTGTGAAAGGCGAATTGACAGCTGCAACCAACCAGAAATATAATCCAAAAATGGCAGTTCCCATTCAAATTAGGATTGGCAGCCATTGCTAGCGTACCCATGAGTTTAACAGTCAAATTGCTAGGGTTAGAGGTTCCAATACCCTTCTATGGAGAGAGAGACATATGAACTGGCACTCCCCAGCCAGTTTATTAGGTACCCGTTCACAACAATGGATCGCTCCGACAGACAGTGAGTCACGTGGCCTTGGCTTGCTATATAAAGCAAGCAGACAGGCATCGAGGCATTCAGTTATTGTTCGATTGAAAGTTAGAATGGACAAAACGAGTGACCTAAGCGACTTCGAGCGTGGTATGATCGTCGGTGCCAGGCCTGGGCTTTTCACGCACAACAATGTCTAGAGTTTACTGAAAATGCAATGATTTTATTTGTCGGTTCAGACAAGAGTAATATACTGTAATATTTTGCTAAATTAATTTTTATTTAGGCAAAATTATTTACTTTTCTATGGATCATATTGTAAGAAAATAGTGACTGTCTTAACAATGGAACTCTAGTAGGCTCTTTGGTATCACATACACTTATGTCAGTCTCATTAAGACTGCAGAACTTGCAGTGTACAAGCTTAACCTTTATTAATGGAGTACAACATAACATATGAACTGGCATGACACTTTCTCCCACAGGTGTCCAACAGAGCTAACCCAAAGCCATGCCTCCAACAAGCCACACCTCCAGATCCTCTAATAGGCTGCCGCCGCTACATTGCCCCCACCTAAGGGGTCAGTCATCCCTGACAACCCCGAAATCCTACACAAAGTCATGAAACCTGGACGGGAGTCTTCAGCGGCGGCGTCCTGATTGCCGTGGGGGGGGTGCTATCCTGACCTCGAGTCGGGTGCCTGCGGCGACGATGCCCTGGTGGCCGTGCAGTCCCATTCTGACCTTGCCCCTCAGGTGAGGAAACCGCTGCATTGTCTGATGGTCCAGGGCTGTGAGGAGGAGTAACCACCTCCTCGTCCTCTCTTTCCACTTCAAGAGGTGTATGAGGTTGGTAAGGCACCAGCCGATCTTGATGGAGGACCACAACTCGTACACGAGTCCGAAACTGGATGCGGTACACCACGTCAGAAAGTCGTTCCAGAACCATGCATGGGCCTTCCCAGTGACTGATTAGTTTCGGGCTCAGACCACGCTTCACCGGGGGCTGTACACTCACAGTTCTTGGCCAGGCTGGAAAGGCTGACCTCGACAGCGAGTGTCGCATGCCCTCTTCTGCTTTACCCCTGCTTCCGTCAAGCGATGCCATGCAAAGTTGTGGGCTGTGTCCAGGCGCCACTGAAGGTGGCGGTATTCCAAGCCTGCGGCTCCAGGAAGCTCGGGCTCCGGAGCTCTTCCAAAGGACAAGTCCACTGGAGTGTGTAGTTTTCTGCCAAACATCAGCGTTGCTGAGGTGTAGGCAGTGGACTCCTGCACTACTGACGGAATGGCCCACAAGACCAATGGCAGATGTCGGTCCCAGTCCTTCTGGTGGTTGAAGGTGAGAGTGGCCAGCTGTATCGCCAAAATCTGATTAAACCGTTCGACGAGCCTGTCGCTTTGGCCTTGCGCACTCCCAGCTTCTCACAGACTTTGTTGAACACCTTCGCTACAAAATTCCTCCCCTGATCAGTGTGGAGTTCTTCAGGTGCTCCAAACCAGCAGAACATCTCCTCCACCAGCTTTTTAATTTTAATTTAATTTAAATTTAACCTTTATTTAGGCCCTGTGTAGCTCAGTTGGTAGAGCATGGCGCTTGCAACGCCAGGGTTGTGGGTTCGATTTCCACGAGGGGCCAATATGAAAAATGTATGCACTCACTAACTGTAAGTCGCTCTGGATAAGAGTGTCTGCTAAATGACTAAAATGAATGACAAAATTCCTCCCCTGATCAGTGTGGAGTTCTTCAGGTGCTCCAAACCAGCAGAACATCTCCTCCACCAGCTTTTTTATTTTAATTGAACATTTATTTAGGCCCCGTGTAGCTCAGTTGGTAGAGCATGGCGCTTGCAACGCCAGGGTTGTGGGTACGATTTCCACGGGGGGCCAGTATGAAAAATTTATGCACTCACTAACTGTAAGTCACTCTGGATAAGAGTGTCTGCTAAATGACTAAAATGTAAAATTATTTAACTAGGCAAGTCAATGAAGAACTAATTCTTATTTACAATGACGGCCTCCTGAGGGACGGGGGATGGGATAAAAAAAAAGGTTGGGGGGACAAAACACACATAACGACAAGAGAGACACCACAACACTACATAAAGAGAGACTTAAGACAACAACAGCTTGTTGGCAGTGGTTGTGGTGCCCTGGTCGGGGACCGCGTAGACCTCTGGCCACTTAGTAAAATAGTCCATGGCCAAAAGTATGTATCGATTTCCTGCCTCTGTCACAGGGAAAGGACCCAGGATGTCCACACCAACCCACTCCATGGGGGCCCCCACCTGGTATTGCTGCAACGGGGCATGAGCGAGTCAGGTTGGTCCTTTGTGGGCAGTACAGGTGTCGCAGGCATGCACATACTGGAGGGTCTTTGTATACCCGAAGTGGCCTGCCCCCACCGACCCATGGACAGCTCTGATGACATTGGCACGCATGAAACGAGGCATCAGCTGCTGCCACACCACAGAGTTGCATGTTTGTTCCCTCCATCTACGAAACAGCACCCCATTGTGAATGGCAAGGTTGTCCCACTGGGAGTAGTAGGCCTTGGCTTCGGAGCACAGTGGTGAGACTATGTTCCAAGCAGGCTGCTGGCCGGTCTCCAACCAGCCCCGAACAGTTGCCAACAACGGGTCACCTTCCTACTCCCTCTTCAGGTCTTGGTCATTCCAGGTCTCCAAGGTGCTGAGCTCCTGTCTGCCGCTTTTGTTCCAAGTGTGGGCAGTGCTTGCAGTATTCCTCTTCACACAGCTGGCGAGACAACGCATCAGCGTTTGTGTGGAGATGACCAGCACGGTGCTGCATCTGGTAGTCGTACTCCTGTAACTCTTCTATCCAGCGAGCCACCTGGCCCTGTGGTTCTCGGAAGTTGAGGAGCCAGGTGAGTGAGGCATGGTCAGTACGGAGGAGGAACTGGGTCCCGTAGAGGTAGGCTCGGAAATTATAGAGTGCATTGACCAGAGCCAACATCTCTCGTCGGGTGGCACAGTAGTTGCACTCGGCACAGTTGAGGCTCTGACTGTAGAAGGCCATCACCCGTTCCCCGTTCCGCCCCTCCTGTGAAAGAACGGCCACAATACCCACATTGCTGGCATCTGTGTCCACAATGAATGGGTGCTGGGGGTTGGGGTTTGCCAGGACTGGAGCCTTGATAAGGGTCTGACGCAGTTCAGCGAATGAGGCCGTGCAGTCATTATCCCAGTCAAACCGCTGGTCCTAGTTTGTAAGGCGGTGTAGAGAGCTGGCTATTGTTGCAAGGTCCTTGATCAACCTCTGGTAGTA